GGAAAAGGCAAAGTTGATTAGAAGATGGGCTCCGAACTATGTCATTGAAAATGGCAAACTAACAAGAGAAGTTACAATGGCGTGCTGCTCAAATGTCTAAGACCAGAACAAGCTCAACAAGTGATCAAAGAACTACATGAAGGAACTTGCTCATCCCATCAAGGTGTGTTCACCCTAAGTAGGAAAGCCTTATTGCAAGGGTATTTCTGGCTTACAATGATAAGGGACTGCGTGGACTTTGCGCGAAGGTGTGAGGTCTGCCAGAAATTTCAAACAAATCCAGGCAGACCCTCTACCCTATATCATCCTGTCATCAGTGCGATCCCCTTTTCAAGGTGGGGAATAGACCTCGTAGGGACCTTTCCCCCGGGCTCAGGAGGTCGGAAATTTGTGATAGTTGCAATTGACTATTTCACATAATGGATTGAGGCCGAACCAATGGTCACAATCACTACGGAGCAATGCAAGAGGTTTGTTTGGAGGAATATATTTTGCCGGTTTGGTGTTCCCATGCAAGTGATCACCGATAATGGAAAACAGTTTGACTCTGAGCCATTCAAAGACTTTGCCGGGGAGTTGAGGCCAGCAGGGCATCTGTTGCTTACCCCGAATGCAATGGACAAGTGGAGAACGCTAATAGAACTATTGTTAGCGGCCTCAAAAAAAAGTTGGAGTCAATGGGAACGACTTCGGTAAATGAACTCAACAATATACTTTGGGCATACCGGACTACCCCAAGGAAGGCTACTGGTGAAACTTCCTTCGCTTTAACTTATGGGTTTGAAGCCCGAGCACCACTGGAGACTCTAGTCCCAAGTAAAAGGGTTGAAGACTATGATCCCAAAAATAACGAGGACATGCTCAGGGCGGAACTGCACCTGATTGAGGAAAGAAGGGATAATGCGTTCATCAAAGCTGCTACAGAAGACAAGTTAAAGAATACCACGAAGCAAGGGTTCGACCGAGGATATTTTAGATCGGAGACCTAGTTTTGAAGAGAAGATCTGCCAGTAAACCTTTGGAAGGTGGAAAGTTCGCCAAAAATTGGGAAGGGCCCTACAAAATCAAGGGAATCATAGGGCCAGGGACTTACAAACTAAGTACTCCTAAAGGAAAGCTGATATAGAGTGTGTGGAATTCCGAGCACTTGATGAAATTCTACCAGTAGGTTTGTAATCCCGATTTGAAGAATTATTCAATAAAGTTCGTTTTCTTTCACAAAAGTCCTTGTAAAATTGCGAAGGTTCTTTAACCGCAAAAAAAAAAAAAAAAAAAAAAAAAAACTAAGTCTGCTATGCCTAATTTTGGTACTCGCAAAAGTCAAAGTACAAATTCCAGACTCATCCAAATTCCGCAGCTCAACATTGTCTTATCAAAAGACGAGAGCAGGAATACAAGGTCTTTTTCAAGATCAAACAGCCTTATAAACAAAATCGGATTTCCTCAAAACACGAAAAGATGATCTTTCTCAAGACCAAGACTGATTTACAAAGGCTAAGGATGAACTAAAGGAATTAACTTTGCACCAGAGAGGCCACCAGGCCTCGTCAATTAAATAGGTTCATCACGAGGCTTAACTGACCTAGAGTGAAGAACCCACCCTACTTCGGTTCAGAAAATAAGAACTTAGGGTTAAAATTGGTAAAGCTCTCCGACACGGTTCAGAAATTAACAACCCAAGGAAAGAGACCCTGACCGGGAAATCAGGGCTGAAACTATGAGGACAAAGTGATAGAAAACAGACTTATCTATTTGGCAACCAAAGTCAGACCTTGAGGTCAAACCAAGGCTCCCAAGTCGTGCAGATACAGGAATGAGGGACGATTTCCCAAACAAACAGCCAAGATAAAATCCAGCCTCAAACTCAGAGCTGAGTGACTCAAGCCGAACTTAAAGAAAGCCAAAACAGGACACACAGGTTGGACCAAGAGACAACAACGTCATATGCGTGCAAAAATATAGTGCAGAAAGGTAATTGTTTGTTTACAAGCCACCTCGAGGGCAGAAAACATTACAGGCATGCCAACCTTGGAAAGATGCTTGTCAAAGCAGATAACAAGAATGAAGCAGAATTTACAGGACAGGTGACAGGGCGTCCCCCTAAACGCCACCCAACATTAGTCAACCTCTACATGGCATCAACAGAGCTCTTCTCATCCGAAAGAAAGGAAACGGCCTGGGAGGCCGGCCTCATCCCAGCGCCCCTCATCAGGAGCAGCTGGAGGTCAACAGCCGACTTTGCAAAGTCAGAGCGATGTTCCCCTTGTCCCTCCCATCAGGTTCCCTAGAGGCCGTCATCACACCTCCTGAAATTGAAAAGAAACAGGGTCGGAAAACAGACCATTGGGATGAGGAAAAGAGGAACTACCAAGATAAGAACTAATAGGGTTAACCTGTGGAGAGTGTGAGCGCAACCTTCCCATCGGCACCTTTATGATAGCACAACAAATAGGGCGAACCCCTTTCGATGAGGTCGGCGGCATGTTCAGTCCCCTCGTTAAGGATTGGCACGTCCCATCGGTGAATAAGCTCTCCCCACCTGTTGATAAAAGACAACTTGCCATCGGCTAGAGTTACCCACACCCACTTTTGCTCCCAGTTTTGAGAAAGATCTGGGCAGGGTGGGGCCTCAAACAGATGATGGTCAGGTCTTTGAGAAAGCGAGAGGAAGCCCTTGCCCACGAAGGCACCAGATCGGGCCGCATAAAAGAAATGCTGGAAGAGGGCCAGATTTGGCCTGAACCGCAGACCCATGCATCGGGCCATAAAGCCGGCTATGAGAAGGTGTGCCACAGGAGCCAGTTGGCTAGGAACGATGCCGTAATAGGAAAGGATGATCAGTATGAAAGGATGTAGAGGTAGTCTGATCCCCATGCGTAGGCTGAGCAAATGAATCCCAAAATGAAGGGGAGAAAGGGGCTCTACCATTTTCTGCCCGGGAGTAGGGCGTGAGCAAACGATGCTGGGACCGGCAAGAGAGGCGGCAGTTTCAAACTCAGCGTCTGAGAGAGCCACTGCAGTGATGGCCCGAGCCCTGCTAGCTGGAAGGTAAAAGTGAGTTTTAGTATCATGAAAGAATTCGGGAGCAGAAGAAGATTTAGATGAAGACATAGTGAACTGGAGTTTTGCTCGAGAAGATCAAAGAATGTCCGAATAATAAAAGGGTGCGAAGAAAAATTGTTTTTATAACAGAACCCTAAAAACACTTCGTAATCATTGGAACCGCTTGGAAGTCATCTCAAAAACTGTTCGAAAACCGCTTGGAAAAACCGCATCCGAAGATTTGAGGAGTTAGGAAATGGAAAAGCCGATTGAAAGTTGAGCCTGAGCTGCAGGCCTACTTCGGCGCAATAATTACTGAGGCAGGGCTACAGCCGCCTACAAGGATTTGAAATTTTGAATCCAATAAACTGCTTCAATTCTACTCCTCCCAAATTCAGCCCTGTTAATTTTGAGGACTAGGGGGCTCGTGATGGTACCATGGATTCAGACCATGGCCCAATTACGTAGACCAACCCATAAATGGGATCAGCCCATAAATGGGATCAGCCCATAAATGGGATCAGCCCTTAACGAGATCAGCCCTTGACGGAATTAGCCCTTGACGGGATCAGCCCTTAACGGGATTAACCTAATTACAGGATTAGCCGCTTAGCCCATTAGGAATTAGGCCCACTAAACGGGATCAGCCCTAATTACAGGATAAGCCCATAAACGGGATTCATGATTAAAAGCCGCTTAGCCCATTAGGAATTAGGCCCATGATAGGAACCCACAGCCAGGCCGGGCTGGACAGCAGATCTCGAGCCTGAGCGGAGTTCTAGTGAGGCCGGGATATTCCTAGGGTTACGTGGCGAGCTATCACTCATTGATAGATATTTGACAACAGGCAGAACTCATCCGGAGAACGGCAACTAAAAGGAGAAAGCAATCGTGTGGGAATGAAGCATCGAAGAGTTCTATTTCGAGCAAGAATATAGTTCATTAATGACGCATTAACTGTATTAGATTCCTCCCATAATACTATCTCACATAATACACACACACATATATATATATCCATAATTCTTATTTTGGTCACTATTGTTTTGCCAGGGAAGCTAAGGTTGTTCTTGTTTTGTAAGAAACTAAGGCTGTTCTAAGTCACAAAATAATAGTGGCCTAATATTTTAGGAAAAACCTTTGTATGTATATGTCATAACAAAATTAAATATAAGTGTTAATGCTCACGAATATAAGGAGAATTTGACTTCACACCCAATGTATTGGATGATATTGAATTTTACACCATATTTTCAAAATCATTAATATGTGCAGCCCAATGGCCAAAATCTTTAAATGATTGATGTGCAAAGTCTAATGACTTTATTTCAAATTTGGCCGCAAACATTAATGATTTTGAAAATAGGATGTAAAGTTCAATATAACTCAAAAGAGTGCAAATACTAATAATTCTGAAAATGAGGTACAAAGTCCCAATATCACTCAATTAAACTAGGGTGTAAAGTCAAATTCCACATTGTCTTGTAGTAGTCCTTTCATTGTTCCAATATTATTTGTTTACCTAAAGCATGATTGATTGGATCCAACATCTTTTATTGTGTTTGATTAGGGTTACATGCAGCATAAACTCATCACTTAGAACCGTTCTAACATCTTTTATAAAGCTTTACAAATAATGGATCAGATCTGCCTTTTCATTAGAACTCAATTTTTTTTAGACAAGGCGGCTTAAATTGATAATAAAACATTCAGTAAGAGCAAAACAGATAAATGAAACACTTCCAGCCACCAACCTCGAACTAGCCTGAGAACCAATCACCCTGAACAGAGCAATATGATTCGTTGATCCTATAGTGGGTCTAAACGAGCCTAACATGTCCAGAGCAAAACCCTCATCACCCCAGCTAATGTAAGAGTCTAGCAGAACAAAACAACAGTAAAAGAAATAAACATAATTTATTCGAAAATAAGAAAATAAAAACTCAATTATAAAGCATGATTGATTGGATTCCAACATCTTTTATTGTGTTTGACTAGGGTTACATACAATATATAATATTCGATCAATTCCCTGACTACAATACATACATACATAAATTAAACTAGGGCCATGATCTTCACCAATTCAATTTAAAGGAACTTAATAATAAAAGGCCACCAATAAAAGCAGCCACCAACAGCAACATCATGATTCCGCTTTCTCCTCTTAGGCTCGAGCTTCCATTCATTTCCTTCCCGCTCAGTTCTTCCAAACCAGTTTTACTTTCTTGGCCGATTGCCGGACGGGGCAATTCCGAATCACGAACAGCACTACTGGCGGTTGTCGCACTCATTAGTTCCGAGGTGGGCAGGCCGCTGCCTCGAGGAGGATAAGGTACTTTCTCATATATTGTTCCTAGGAAGTGATTGAGTTGCAGTACACCCAGCGCTGCATCAGGACCCCTAAAATACTCTTGGTCATGCGCCCACTGTGCATTGCTTAACGGTTCTACAAACCAGCTAAATTCAGTAGTCACATGGTCCATTGGTGAGTCTCTTTCACCATCCCCGTGGATGATGACATTTCTGGAAATTCGCACGGTGACATGAACTGACCATTCCCACACCGAGGACATATCGGTTCAGAAGAGGAAGAGAAAGAGGATTGGACGATTCCTCCAACATGATAAGGTTTGTGACATCGATAACACCAGCAAATGGGGTCATGGGTGTCAAATGTCGCAACCGTGGATCTGACTGCTCTATCAAGTGAGCATTCCTGACACCGCATGATTTCAGGAATAGTAAGAGAAAGAGGAGGAGTCGTTGAAACGACTCCATCTGTTTCTGTGACATGACCTAGTCTACGACAATGGTAGCACCAATACCATTGACTGCATTGTATTACTGGTTCGATGCCGGTTTGAAGCTTCTCCAACCCACCTTTCCATCTATTGGTTTGGGGTTGCTCACCTCTTCCTCGCCATATTAAACGGGTCACAATTCCAGGCCGCTCAAGCTTTACACATGGATCTGCCTTTTCATGATATCTTGACTGCCACTGATGAACTAATAGCGGGGGGGCTCGATGGTTGTTGATATCCCCAATGTACAATATATTGCTTTGAATCTCATACAAAAATAATTCAGATAAACATAGAGGACACGAATTGACTACATTAGGAGAACGGAATCCCTCATAGCATTGGTAGCACAAATAATAATGAAAATGATTATTGCCCATGCGATCCATTCTTAATTATTTTACTAGCGAGCTAACTTTGTACGCAATCTCAGGAATTTAGAACAAAATATGTGTGTGTATATGAAAACAATTCAAGTCCAAGAGATCAGAAGAAGAAGAGACTTTCCCCTTGAAGCTTTGAGATGAAATAGAGGCGCACAATTGTATAGTATCAAGGAAATAACTACTCAAATTGAACTGTAACTGAACAATTTATATTCACACATACGTGTATATTATTATAAGAGAGCTACATATTGTGTCCATATATATAGTGCAATTTGGGATATTCACTAACTTATGAATGAAGTATAGTTCTTATATATATAAATATATATTTCACTTTATGCTGTATCCATTTACAAGTCCTTCATAATTTACATTTATACTTGTTTGGTTGGAAAAGAAATGCATTATAATACGTAAATGGACAATAATTCAAATATTATTATTATTATTATTATTATTAGAGATATTACCTCAAATAGGACTAAAAAGGTTTGAAAATTCTAAAATAGGGCTGCCATGTTTTTATTCCCAAAGTAAGACTAATTACTGTCATAATTTGACAGTACCAGACTTCAAACATGGCAGTATTTTCCAAACTTGACAGTAATTACTCATATTTTGGGAATAAAAAACATGGCAGTCCTATTTTGGAATTTCCAAACTGTTTTAGTCCTATTTCGGGAACTTTCCCTTATTATTATTATAATTATTATTATTATTATTATTATTATTATTATTATTATTATTATTATTATTATTATTATTATTATTATTATTATTATTATTATTATTATTATTATTATTATTATTATTATTATTATTATTATTATTATTATTATTATTATTATTATTATTATTATTATTATTATTATTGTTATTATTACTCCATAACTCCGTATTATCATTATCATTATCATTATCATTATCATTATGCAGAGTATAAGAAAATGATTATATATATTATATTATATTATGAAATAAAATAGAAGAAAAGGTGTGAGAAATAGAAGACGACTTTTGGGATTGCAGTATACGGATTATGGAGTATACAATTACTTTGCCAAACATTACCAAATGGAATATTTATGATATTTTTATTTGCTGTTTTTCTCTTTCTTTCAACTCTTTTCATCATTTCCAAAAAAGTATGTGAAAATTATTGTCCGTATTAAGTAGATGGGAAGGACAAGAATGTGCATAAGACAGAAAGAAAAATATAGAAAAAGTCATACTTTTCTTCATAAGTTAGTTCACGTGATTAAGTAGATAGGAAAGACAAGAATGTGCACAATTCAAGACAGAGAGAAAATATAGAAAAAGACATATATACTTTTCTTCATAAGTTAGTTCACGTGCAAAACATAGCAAATATAAAAATTAAAAATGTTTTTATTTGGATTGCTTTCAATTCCAGACCAGATTAGACTAGATCAAACCAGACCAGATCAGACTTGGACAATTATAAAATACATAGAGATCAAATATTTACCAGATAAGACCAACAAGTTTCAGTCCAAGTAAAAACATCCTAAGTGCCTAATACAAAATATGAATAGCCGTTTGTATCACTAGCAACATCCTAAGTGCCAAATATATCTGCTTAAAACATACTCCCTTCGTCTCCAAAATAAATTCCCACTTTAGTTTAGAGACATTTTAGTGGAAGTTAAACCGAGGAGTTGCCTTTCCAATCAAGAGCGGACCCAGGAAATTAATGTTGGGGGGGGGGGGTTCAAAATATTTTTTAAGGGCGAAAATTATTTTTTGAGAGGGCGAAAATTAATTTTCTTATATATATACACTAAAAATAAATTTTGTTGGAGGGGCGGTAACCCCCTGGGTCTGTACTATGGTCCGCCCCTGTTTCCAATAATACCTCTACTTTATGTTATATCAAGTAAAAAGTAAGGCTAATTATAAAAAAGTTTTTTTTCTTCAAAATGAGAAGTTTATTTTAGGACACTCAAATAATGAAAAAAGTCAGAAGTTGCTTTGGAGACAAATGTAATATATATAGAGTAAATCAAGAATTCTTTCGAAAGAATTTTTGAAGTACGAAAAACTGAAGAAGAGCCTGCAGAATCACGGTTAGTAAAAGAAGCAGATAAAGCATGAGTATAAATATTTGACTGAACAAACATGCCTGCTGGACCTGGAGCCCCAAGAATGCCAGCATGCGTTACACCTCCTGGACATAGTCAGACTGAGGATAACCATAACTGTGCATAGGTGGGCCATAACCGTGACCAGGCTGATGTGGACCATAGCCACGGCCACATTGCCGACGACCTCCGCGACCCCGCTTCTCACGACCGCCACCGCAACGACCACGCTGCCCGTGGCCACGATGCGGCTGCCCTCCGTGCTGAAGAGGCCAGGTGGAGGTGGAGCCTGCGCCTGTGCCTGACCAGCAAATGTCGAAGCCGTATGTTCCTCCTGAGAACGCAAATATCGAAGACTATGTTCCTGTTCCACCGACTTGGTCCAAAGTTTATCAAAAATGAAGCCTTCCGGAAACAAACCAACCGAAGTGATAAGGGATTCATAATCCCATCCGAGACCAAGCAGAGTATATTGAAGTAGTTATGTAAAATTTATAACTAAAATACATTTCTCCTGATTTGAACATCTATACATTGAGATTATGGTTAACATTATTCAAAAAAATTATAAGACGAGATACTACGTATAAAATTGTGAAAATAAAGATCAAGAAAAATATCGATTTTTTCCTATCCATTTCATGTCACAATAGAGTGTTAATATTGTTTTATTGAAGATGCTTCGAAGTGATCTAAGATAATTAATTACTCATTAAATCAAATGTAATCAATTGTCAAATAGCCTCAATTTTAAAGCATCTCCAATGTAATATGATATATAGGTGAATCCTTACCATAAGAGACAAACACATAAAATTTAATAAGTAGAATATTTATCTCTTTATTTGAGTGGGCACATTTGATTTTAATAAATAGAATATCTCCAATTATTACTTCATTTTAGTATTGATACATTTACAAATTATATTCGTATTAAGACTTGATGTTACTATTAATGTGTACAAATATACGAAGATGTTTTTTTACTACATCTTATTCCGTGCATCGCATAGGTGAAAATCTAGTGAGAGTTAAAACAATGTAACACTAAGTATTCACATTTTCAAAATATATGTTAAAAACCTTCTAAAAATTAAAAGTTAATACTTTTTGAATGACATGACAAATTAAAGTATTTAACTATTTCAAAATCGCTTTTTATTTATTTTTCTTGCTTTTTCAGTTGCAAAATCGCTTATTAATGTTTTATATTCTAATTGTTCTAGCATACTATTTTCTATATATAATATGCTTAATCCGTTTAATCGATCTTGCGACATAGTTGATCTTAAATAAGATTTCAATAATTTTAATTTTGAAAAACTTCTTTCAGCAGAAGTAACTGTCACAGGAATAGTTAATAATATTCTATATATACGCAATATATGTGTTTGGAAAAGAATCTTATCTCGTGATGTAATTTAGCACCTCAAGTGAAGTGTTTTCTTTATCTAGAGTTTCTTTTAAAACTTTTAACTCTGAAAATAAATCAAATCCATCAATATCTGAGTGTTCATTAAATTTTAAAAAACTTTCAAGATTAAGGCATGCCTTTTCCAATTCATTCTCTTCTAAAGCTTTTAACTTATTTATGTCAAATAAAAACCAAAAATTTGTTCATAAAACAGAAATTGTTCAAATCTACTTTCAATGTCTATGAACGCGACATGAAATGTCTGGTTGCAAACAATATCCATTGAAATAAGTTAATTTGCAAGTGAATTTATTTAAACGAGATCCTTAACATAACTCGTGTATGAGAAAATTTGAAGTTAAACTCTTAACCGAGACCATGTATTATATTTTAACTATTTAGCAAGATAATTTACACTTTCATGATTTACATCTATTTTCTATTAAACTAATAATGTTAATGAATACAAATTAACTACAACAACAAATCGTAATGAGAGTAAGACTACTAACTCAGCTTTTCCACTAACTTACCAAATAATTTAAACACATAACTTTACAATATAAGTACTTATAAACATAAATCTTTTGTGGTCCTTTTGTTTGAAGCTCTCATTCAATTCTTCACTTCCAAATTCCTTAATGTTGCCATGATTTGTTTTATATCATGATATATCCAAATATATGAAGAAAGAAAGTCATCTGGAATGAGGGAACTCAGAGCAGGTTTAACAGTGAAGGAGACTCCTATATTGGTGAGTGTAGGATGTTCATTCATGAAGACTCGAGGCTCTCCCCCATTTTGAGACCACCATATGTTAGACTAACAAGCCATCTCAGTCATCAACTTACCTTTCATTTTACCCATGCAAAGCCCTGTGGTGAAGTAAATTCAAAGGAAAACAAATTAACTAATTGATAAAAACCCGGCCAAGGGCATGCCAAAAACATCCATGTGTATGCATCCCTAAAAAGTGCATAATAATATTACTATCCAGACATACATATGAAAAATGAAGTTCTAAGAAATAATTATTTCTTGATGTCATAGGAAAAAATTTTAAACTCTATGTTTTAATTGACCTTTTCATTATCATTTTTTCTATTTAATGTATCAGTATTGCAATGCGAAGATGTGCATGAAAATCAAGAAAAAAAACACCCTTTGTTTTCATTACGTGATGTTTTAGGTTAAGTAAAGAGAGATCTTTATTTCCGTTTTCAGAGCTTTGTTAATATTACAATTTATGTTTGCGTATTTTGGGCTTATATTTGGGAGATTGAACATCATTTAAAGTCATTTTCATTTACATAACACAAAACATATATGTTTCAAACATAAGCATCTCTACCTAAATTCAACATCACTTTTAATGCAAAAACATGATACAAAAATTGGTTGGCTTGGTAGCTCCACTCTTTCATTTATCATATTTACATTTATCCATTCATGCACCGCAATATTTAGTAATTGAAAATTCCATAATAAACTAGCAAATTCATAATAATAAAAAATCATTATATAATAATTTAAACTGGAAAACTAGAAAGTTAGAATTTAAAACTAGTAAACAAAAGAAAGAGATTAAAAAGTCATGTGTTTGAACAAATACTTCATTGAGTCATTTTACCAATAGAACAAAATATCAAGTGTTATGAGCATTGAATGAAATAGAGTAATATAATTGGACTAAAATTTCAATAGTTATCACCACAATATCTTACAATAGAACAAAATATCAAGTGTTTAATGTTACAAAAATGATCTTTGTACCCACTCTTATACCCACTTTTGTACACACCTATGTTTGTAAAGTGTTTTTTTTTCTGTGAACCCCGGCTCACAAATAATATTTTGTGTTAAATATAAACTAGAATGATATTAAAGATGGAGAGAAGGATTTTCTGTGTGTTTCATTGAAGGGTAAGGCCCTATAAATATAGATTACAAAGATAGAATATTCCTATACAAGATGCTATACAATAATACTATATATGGTATATTCCTAATATATTCTAAAGCATATTCTAAAGTATATTCTAATATACTTTCACACTCCCCCTCAAGTTGGAGCATAGATATTTATCATGCCCAACTTGTTACATAAATAACCAACTCGAATTCCATTTAGTGCTTTAGTGAACAGATCTCCAAGTTGTTCCCCAGTCTTCACATATCCTGTAGAAATCAATCCTTTTTGTATCTTCTCTCGAATAAAATGACAATCGACCTCAATATGCTTTGTTCTCTAATGAAATACGGGATTGTTTGCTATGTGTATAGCAGCTTGGTTATCACACCACAATTTAGCAGGCATTGAAGTCTTCAATCCGAGCTCAGTCAATAAATGGCTTATCCATATGATCTCACATGCAGATTGTGCCATAGCTCGATATTCTGATTCGGCACTCGAACGAGAAACCACATTCTGCTTCTTACTCTTCCAAGATTCAAGATTACCACCAACAAAGACACAATAACAAAATGTAGATTTTCGATCATCTTTAGAACCGGCCCAATCAGCATCTGCAATACATTCTATTCTCATGTGATCATGGTTTTGATAAACAATACCCCGTCCTGGTGCACCCTTTAAGTAACATAATATGTGTTCTACTGCAGCCCAATGATCAATGGTTGGAGATGACATGTATTGACTCACTACACTCACAGAATAGGCAATATCTGGACGAGTGACTGCGAGATAATTAAGCTTTCCAACCAGTCTTCTATATCTTTCTGGGTCTTCAAACGGTGTGCCTTCTTGAGTGAGTTGCACGTTGGGAACCATCGGTGTTGTACTTGGTTTTGCCCCTAATTTCCCTGTCTCAGCTAGTAAGTCAAGTACATATTTACGTTGAGATAGAAATATGCCTTTCTTACTTCGTGTTACCTCACTTCCCAGAAAGTATTTCAAAGAGCCAAGATCTTTCGTCTGGAATTGACTATGCAGAAAATTCTTAAGGGCCAAAATACCTGCATTATCACTCCCTGTAATCACAATATCATCAACATACACCACAAGCAACGTGACACCTGATTCTGTTTGTTTGTAAAAGACAGAGTGATTTGATTTGTCTTTTATCATTCCAAATTGTTCAATTGATTGACTGAATTTCCCAAACCATGCACGAGGACTCTGTTTCAGACCATAAAGAGATTTGCGAAGTCGACAAACTTTACCATACTCCCCCTGAGCAACAAATCCCGGAGGTTGCTCAATACAGACTTCCTCCTTAAGGTCACCATGCAAAAATGCATTTTTAATGTCCAACTGATGTAAGTGTCAATCATGAGTTGCAGCGAGTGAAATAAGTAACCTGACAGATGTTAATTTAGCAACAGGAGAAAAAGTGTCACAATAATCAACACCATAGGTTTGAGCATAACCCTTCGCAACTAATCGGGCTTTCAACCGAGCAACAGATCCGTCTGGGTTAACCTTAACAGCAAAGACCCACTTACATCCAATAGATTTGTTCCCTGTAGGCAAGTCAACCAAATCCCAAGTACCATTAAGATCTAAAGCATTCATTTCCTCTACCATGGCATGACGCCATTCAGGATGAGACAAAGCTTCTTTGACAGATTTGGGAACAGAAATAGAATCAATGGAAGCAATAAAAGAACATGACGCAGGAGATAACTGATTGTACGACACAAATGAAGAAATAGGATGAGTACAAGACCGTGTACCTTTACGTAGTGCGATTGGGAGGTCAAGATCTGATGTGGAGACAAGATCTGAAGATGCAGGTACTGGTTCAGGACATGAGATCAGAGTCGAACTAGTATCAGGATAAGTAATCACAGGTATCGCCGGTGGAGGGTGATCAGGTGATTTGTGTCGACGGGTGTATACCAAATGTACGGGAGGCCTAGGGTCAGGAACAGTAACTTGTGGAATATTTGTCGAAAGTGTGGACTCGGGAATAGTCATCGTGTAAATGAGTATATCATCATTACTCTCATGAATATTTGCCTTAGATGATGAAAAAGGTGTATTTTCATGAAATGATGCATCAATAGAAACAAGATACCGACCAGTACTCGGACAAAAACATCTATACCCCTTTTGGACTCGAGAATAACCCAAGAAAATACATTTTAATGATTTGGGATCTAACTTTGTAAGATGAGGATTAACATCTCTAACAAAACAAGTGCAACCAAATATATTAGGTGGGATAGGAAAAAGCTCTTTGTTTGGAAATAGACAATGATAAGGAGCTTTACCATTCAAAACAGAAGATGACATTCGATTTCTCAAAAAACATGCAGTAGACACGGCATCTGCCCAAAACTGTTTAGGCACATTCATTTGGAATAGAAGAGCCCTTGCAGTTTCTAACAGATGTCGGTTCTTTCGTTCTGCAACTCCATTTTGAGGAGGTGTGTCAACGCATGAAGTTTGATGAATAATGTCATGTTGAAGCATAAATGACTTAAATGTAGCAGATAGATATTCTTGGGCATTGTCTCCTCTTAACACCCGAACAGGAACGTTAAACTGAGTTTTAATTTCAGCATAAAAGGGAGAAAAATGAGTGAACAACTCAGATCGACGTTTCATGAAATACAACCATGTCATACGAGAATAGTCATCAACAAAGGTAACAAAATATTTAAAACCTGCTTTAGACACAACCGGGCAAGCACCCCGAACATCAGAGTGAACAAGGTCAAATGGAGCATTTGCTCGTTTATTAACTCGAGGGCTCAAGCTAGTACGATGGTGTTTCACAAATTGACATGACTCACATTGTAAAGAGGTCATCTTATTAAATTGGGGATTTATTTGCTTCATTAATGGGAGAGATGGATGTCCTAATCGGTAATGAGCATCTAACAAAGTCCCAACCCCAAGACAAGAGATACCTTTTGTGATTGATGTATCCAAAATATAAAGACCAACTGACTCATGTCTTTTACCAATAGTCTGCTTCGTTAACAGATCCTGAAACACACAATATCCAGGAAAAAATGTTACAGAACATTTAAGAGTACGCGTGATTTTACTGATGGAAAGCAGATTAAATGCAAAATTAGGAAGACTCAAAACAGGCGACAATGGTAATGTAGAAGTTGGAACAACAGTACCAGATCCAAGAACGGGTGAGGTAGATCCATCAGCTAAAGTGACACTAGAAGTAGGTAAATATGAATGGAATGACGAGAATAGACTAGGATTACCGGTCATATGATCTGTGGCACCTGAGTCAATGACTCATTTCGAGGATGACGAAACAAGACATGTGTTTGAAATACCTGAATTCGCGGCTACCGAGATAGGGACAGATGAATGCTTTAGAGATTCTTGGTGGCAAATAAATTTGGCATATTCATCCGAAGAAATAGCAACTGATCCATCAGATGAGGTGGTAGCGGAAGCAACATGAGCAATCAAATTTCCTTGATTTTTGAATGCCAACTTTCTACAATCTTTGAGCAAGTGTCCGGACTTCTTGCAGTAATTGCATATTACTCCTCTGTCAAATTGACCTGTACGAAACATTTTTTTTTTTTTATTTTTTTTTTCTCCCTTTTTTTTAAAATAAAATCAAATCTGAGATTGCATTGGAAACTTACAGCAGCCTTTTTATGTGTGGGCTCAAATTTTGGAAAAAATGATGCTGAATAGAGGAAAGGAAGGTGACCACAATTTACTTCTTGGACTTCTGTATTCTCCAAGCACACGGTAATCAGTAAACAATCATAGCAAGAATAACAACGGGTCTCACCAGATTTTGAGTTGAACTGACTGATATTCACCCGAGGTTACCGCGTCGAACTATTCCTCCGGTTTAGGCAAAGAAAACAAATATTCTCCTCCTTTAACAATCTGCTAGAAGATTGTGATAAAGCAACCGGGTGTGTTCCTCGCGAGTTTGCGTTGACTTTTACGCAACAAGGCTATCGAAGCAGGAACTAATGCTTACCAAGACGAAACGAACGACCACAAAAGAGAGGCCATACGCAGGCGAGCTGATGGGTGGTTTTCGATCGGAAATCTGGCCGGAGAACAGACGAGACGCGCCGGCACGTGAGTTAAGTTCGCCGTGCTGTGGCGGCGCGTGCGGCTCACTCGCTTAGAGTATGGGTGTCGGACTTGTGTTTTTGTGTCGTCGGAGGTAGCCGCACCACCTGGGTACGACGGTGATGAAATGTGTGGTCTGAAATTTGTGAGGTCTGGGGGCAGACTGTGATAATTGACTTTCTGGGAAATTTAGAGGTTCTGAAGAATCTGAAAAACTGAACTCAAGTTCCTCAAGAATCGGAAAGCTAAAATCCTGAAGAAAGAATTTAGAGACAGACTGGTGTTGAAGGTTATAAAGACTGAACTCAAGGAAGAATCCAATCTGAAAATTAACTGAAATCTGGAAAAAACTAAACTAAAATGGATGGCTCTGATACCATGTTAAATATAAACTAGAATGATATTAAAGATGGAGAGAAGGATTTTCTGTGCGTTTCATTGAAGGGTAAGGCCCTATAAATATAGATTACAAAGATAGAATATTCCTATACAAGATGCTATACAATAATACTATATATGGTATATTCCTAATATATTCTAAAGCATATTCTAAAGTATATTCTAATATACTTTCACATTTTGCATAAACAAAATATTGTCTGTGAACCCGAGTTCACAGACAAAAAAACCTCCACAAACATGGTGGGTATAAGGTGGGTATAAAAGTGGGTACATCAAGCATGGTTGTTAATGTTATACGGAGTACTTGAAACCCGAAATAAAGATTTCTCTTGATTTTGGTTGGAAATATTTTTCCTATAATTATTAAGTAACTGCTCATGTAATTTCTCACAGACATCAAGATTAGTTCACTTCTTCCATCAATCAAGCTTGATACGATACAAAATGAGCCTCAATTTGGCTACTAAACGTCTCAAATGCGGCATCAGTGAAAGATGCCTAAGCCTCCACCATCGTATAAAACTCCTCCTCTGACAGTTGAAGCTCGTATGATCTGATCTAGTTTAGTATGATCTGTTTTGGCCTGGTACTTTACAATTGCGGAGTTTGGCCTGGTATGATTCAGACTGTTTAAGTCTAATATGGACTGAAACTAGTTGCAATTTATATGATACACCCGGTATACCTATACGGCTATACATCCTTTTTTTTGCAATTCTATATAACTTTCAGCCTAATTATCAAAGGCCAATTGATCTGTACGCACAGTGTTCTAAAAGGCTTGAAAAGGCGCCGCCTAGGCAGGCCTAAGCCCAAGGCGTCGACCAAACGCCCCGCACCACTTTGATGCGTGAAGAAAGGCGGCCCACAAAGGCCGGCCCTTAAATTTTTTACTATAAAAGCCCCAAGGAAGCAGTCTACAGCTGCGGGGTCTACCGCCCGTCAAAACTGAAGAGAAGAGAGCTACGGAGTGATACTTATAGCTATTTTGGAATGAGAAGTGTTCACTTCAACCGGTGTGGGAAAATAAGACTAGAATTGCGCGTGCAGTAGAGTAAGGAACACATGAATGACATGATATTATAGGATGTTGCAAACTTTCAATCACCATTGAATTGCTAACCAAACTCTCTTAAATTACATACTCCTTAAATTGCAATCTACTCTCATCATCAACATTATTATTATTATTATTATTATTATTATTATTATTATTATTATTATTATTATTATTATTATTATTATTATTATTATTATTATTATTATTATTATTATTATTATTATTATTATTATTATTATTATTATTATTATTATTATTATTATTATTATTATTATTATTATTATTATTATTATTATTATTATTATTATTATTATTATTATTATTATTATTATTATTATTATTATTATTATTATTATTATTATTATTATTATTATTATTATTATTTGTTGGGTTAAGGGTCCAAGCCGAGGTCCGGCCCACTAATCCATATTGCCAGACGCACGTCCAGTTAGAACACCAGGCCAGCCCACAGGCCCATGTCCCTTGAGGATGGACGAACGTCTGGTGTTGGGGGCTCAGGCCCAGCGGCTCATCCCGACGAACGTCTGTGCAGGGACAAGGAGCAGGGCCACGGGCCACCAGGGATGGTGACGAACGTCTCCGGAGCAAGCCTGCAGTCATCGGAGGAAACCCAGCCCACATGGTGAATATCTATAAGGCCAGGAGACGAACAGCCGGTATCTCCTGAGGGTCACTTGGGGCGATCCAACTCACTTCCCGGGCGGACGAACGTCCCCGCTGATTGGGCGGGAAACCTAGATTCTGGCGGGAAGTGCATTTAATGCTGAAGATTTGGTGGTTGGGACACAAGCGGTCCACAGGCTTCCACGTCAGCATAGCTACCTGCCCATTGGCGGGTATAAATAGAAGCATTTATTTCATTGTAAAGGGTTGGCAACTTTCTATTCTTAGCATACTAGCTTCAGCATTCTTACTCGCAGCATTTCTAACTGCCTTGTAAGACGAACGGCCGACGTGCCTTTTTTAGCAAGTAGATTGTACTTAGGGGAGTTATTACGAAGTTAATAATACCTATTTACATTGCCTGCTATTACTCTTGTTTCCTAATCCATCAGATAGTTGTTGGGCTAGATATTCATACACTCACTCCACTCGAAATCTTTGGGCTTACGTGTTGGGTCCAAGGGTTGAAGGAATAAACCTCAACACTGGCGCCATCTGTGGGAAACTGAGCAAAAAGTTTCCAGAAACTCTCCCAAACAGCTACTAAGTCTACCTCCAGCAAACACGATGTCAGGAAGCAACAACCAGCGTGATCTCTCCGAGCGTCTGGAGTCAAGCCGCCGGAATCGCGGCCAGAACTCGGAACTATCCGCAACAATATGGACCTCTGGAGGAAACGGGGGTATCACTGACCTCATTCCCCTGGAGGCCAGGCAGGATCCCCGCCTCATGCGGGAACTCGCAGACACCATGCGTCGCTTGGCAGACGAGCGGGAGGCCCGAGATCAGGTGTACTCCGCAAGCACCCAGCGAACCCCCCTCTCTCCCATCCGCCGCATGCAGTCGTATGATGATACGACGGGATCCAGCGACCACCGGCCCTCAGTCCACGAGCGGCTAGGTGGGGGTTCAGGCTCCCGTGAAACGGGAGGGCGAACCAGGGTCAGCATCGTTGCATCCAGAGCTCACACGCCATCGGTTCCCCGCCAAATCCCGCGGGGAGACGAAACCCCAAGGATCAACACCGTTGGACGACGTTTCCAACGGCGAGGTGCGCAGATCTTCAGGCGGCCGCACGATGCTGTGGCCGCTCAGCAGAATGCCACCCCCGAAGCCGCGCCCCCTGTGTCCCCCGGAAGGGCCGCACAGGATGCAAGGCTGGAAGCCATGGAAAAGCAGATAGCCGAGATGAATAGGCGGGCAGACGTCGGCTCGGCCACACCCTCTTTCTCTCTCACATCACCCTTTACTCCACGGGTGATGAGCGTTGAGATTCCCCGGGATTGCAGACCCCCGGGTAACTTGGTGTATAATGGGGCCGGCGATCCTAAGGCCCATCTGATAAGCTACCAAGGAAACCTGTCCATGCTGGGAGCATCGGACGAGGCCATCTGCAGGTTGTTCTTCAGCACCCTCAGGGGGCCGGTGCAAGAATGGTTCGGCCAGTTGAGGCCGGGCACCATCGACTCATACGAACAGCTCTCCCGGCAGTTCATGGCACAGTTTGCTGCCAGTACCACCCCCAGGAAGGACGTCACGGCTCTCGCCCACATCAAACAGGGGCGGGACGAACCACTGGCTAGGTTCCTGGTAAGGTGGAGGGACGAGGTCCTGCAGGTCGACGATCTGGACGAACGTCTGGCCACCAACATGTTCACCAGTGCGCTGGCCACAGGGGATCTATACCGGGACCTAAGGAGAAATCCCGGCACCAGCTACACCGAAGTTCTGGCTCGGGCCCAGAAGTATGCCTCCATTGAGGAGGAGATCAGGCAGCGGGACGGAGTTCCCGCGGCCCAGCCAAGGAAGATGGCGGACAGGCTCGGACCCAGACCAGGACCCGGGCCCTCACCCCCAAGCAAAAAGAAGAGGGTGGACGGAGCGATGGTCCCTTGGAAGGCTCCGTCCGGAGACAGTCAGACGCGGCCGGACGACCGCTATATCCCATTGGCCTATCCAGTGAGCCAGATCTTCGAGGCCATCAAGGACAAGGGCCTCCTGACGGAACCCCAAGATATGAAGAAGCATATGGGGCTTGACCAATCGTCTTACTGTGAATACCATCAGAGGGCCGGCCACCTGACGGATAATTGCAG